AGTTTTAAGTTTGAAAGTGGTCTTTAAAAAGAATTATAATTGATACAAGAAAACAATCCTGATACAATATTAAGAACACAATATACACAGTTGTGTGTGCAGTATGTTATTAATAGTAATATCCTTGTATCTGTTTAGAGACCAGCGTGTGTGAGGGGTCACTAGGGGCTGAGGAAGGGAGGGGCAGTGACGCTAGAAGGCACTGGGCTTCTGTTTAGGGGATGGAAGTATCTGGAAATGGACAGTGGCGATGGTCACACAATAGGGTGAATTGTCCCTTGAACTGTACACCTGACAATGGTGAAAATGACTATTTTTTTTAACCCATGTGTATAGAGAAGATGGACTAACTTCTACTTTTTGATATATTCTAAAATTTTTTAGAACTCCCCCCTACTTTTGGCGTATTTGAGAACTTTCAAAATAACTTATATAAGAAAAAAAACAAACTCTAAAATAACAGCCATGTGATCATTTCCTAGCAGAGTATTCCTTTGGAAGATTCCATGCTGAGGGTGTTAGCTCTCACCCAGTGGAGTGTATCCTAACGGGGGCAAGGTGCCAGCAATGTGGCCTGGGTCCCCTTCTGTAAAAGAGGGTTTTCTTACAGGAAATCCCTGATGATGTTTTTGGACCTGACTTTTAAGGAATGGTTTGTTGGCCTTTTATTGTAAATAAGGATCCACAGATCTGAAGATAAACTGTACGGCATGCTGTTGTTTTTTTCCACAGTGACGGAACATGCCAATCACGCCAAGGAGAGCTTATACGAGATGAACATAGATAAATATGATGGGTGAGTAAGCTGCTCCATTTCATCCTGATTAATTGATAGGAAAGGAGCCCTGGTGGCACGATAATTAAGTGCTCAGCTGCTAACCAAAAGGCCAGCGGTTTGAACCCACTCTGACTCCACCGGAGAAAGACCTGGTATCTGGTCCCGTGAAGGTCGCCCAGCCTAGAGCACCCCAGGGGCCGTTCTGCTGCATCCCACGGGTCGCCATGGGTCTAAGTCAACTTGAAGCACCAGACAGCAATGATAGAGTTCTGGTCCAGCTCCACCCGTCTGTCTGCCTGTCTGCTGTTATCTCTCTTTCCTTTCATTACCTATTTATTTTCCCAGTTATCAGAGTATAAGACACTTCTTGTAGAGAATGTGGGTGAGGCAGACACGTTCAGGCGTTCTCACTCCTGGGAGATCCCCCAGCAACCAGCTGTGTGTTTCCCTTTCAGTTGGTGATAGGACGTGTTCACATAGCTCTCCATCGACCTGGGCATCCCCGGGTGATGCACACGGGTTACGTGATGAGCTGCTAGCCTGGGTGATGCACGTGGGTCACATGATCAGGTGCTAGCCAAAGGGCTGGGGGTTCAGGTCCATCCAGGGGTGCCTCAAAAGACAGCCCTGACAAGCTGCTTCCAAAAACCAGCCCTCGCAAACCTGTGGGGCCCAGCTCTGCACTGATGCACGTTGGGTCACTGCGGTGCTGCTGGTGGTGGTGACGGGGCCGTAGGAAGGATGCTGCTGAAGTCAAGTGGAGACGAGGCCACGTTCACAGTCGGGGCTTCTGCACTGTGTATTTCGGGAAATGTGCCTTGTCCTTAAAGACTGCTCAGCACCAGTGCTAATGCCTGTCACGTTCTGGCAGCTGTGCCGTCATTTCATTAACTAGCTGCTTGTTCCTGGATTCTTAGGGCCTCTCCAAGTTTTGCTCTTGTAATAAAACAGCATTCCTTTTTTAAACAATTGTATTGTGGTGAAAGTATTCCCAATGAAAGCCATGCCGTGTCAGTAATGGCTACACAATCCCATGACCCTGATGGCGTTAAGTGGGGCCCCCCTTCCCGTCCGATGGCATCCTTGTGCACGGATAGCTGCAGACACCTGTTGTCCTTCCAGCTCAATCCCTAGCAGTGGAATTTCTCGGTCAGAGGGGATCAGCATGTTTAAATCTTTGCCGTGGACTGCGTCCTGCTTTCTGGAAAGATTCTATCAATTTATGTTCTTCTCAGAACACAGCCTGCGTTCTCCTCGCCACCGTATTGGGGGTTACCACGTTCAGTTCTCTGCTGAGCAGATGTGAAATCCTCAGCCGTTTAAAAACTGTGTTTCCTGACAAACAGGGTCTCTGTGAGTTGAGTCTTATTTCCTGGCCTGTTTTTTTCTATTGGCCATGATGTCATTTGTCCTTTTATTCAACAAATAATCGGCAAGTTTACTCGGCATTTTTTTTCTGCTGATATTTTTCCTAGTTTTCTCTCCATTTCCTGAGTGTTTTGTCATCCTCCCTTCCTCACCTTTTCCTTGTGCTTGCAAATGCGCTCATCTTGGGTTTGGTTACGTAATGCCTGGTAGTTTATCTGCTTTTCAATGGCTTGGCTCATTTATTTATTTATTTA